CATGGTTTTGCAGTCATGCATGTTAGCTTTCTTAAGAAGATCATGAATATATTTTGACTGATGAAGATGATATCCTCCAGAAGTTGTTTTTGTGGCCTCTATACCAAGGAAGTAGTGGAGAAGTCCAAGATCTTTAAGGGAGAAGGCTTGATTCAGAGAATGAATTAAGGATTGGATAGCAGATGAACAAGATCCAGTGACAAGGATGTCATCAACGTAAACTAGAACAAAGAGAGTGGTGGTTGGAGTAATGGATATGAACAGGGAGGAGTCACACTTTGCTGTGGTGAAGCCAAGTCTATGGAGAGTATTGCTGAGTTTCTCAAACCAAGCACGAGGTGCTTGTTTGAGACCATATAGTGCTTTGGTAAGTTTACAGACCAGTGTTTTGTCTTGGTGAATGAAGCCAGGAGGCTGCTGCATGAAGACCTCTTCTTGAAGCTCACCGTTCAAGAAGGCATTATTAACATCCAGTTGATGAATGGGCCAATTCTTCGAGAGTGCAGCAGTGAGGACAACACGAATGGTGGTTGGCTTGACTACAGGACTAAAGGTTTCCTGATAGTCAAACCCTTCTTCTTGATGGAAGCCTTTAGCTACAAGGCGAGCCTTATATTTAAGGATGGTGCCATCTGGGTTAAACTTTGTACGAAACACCCATTTGCAGCCAATAGGAGATCTGTTTGGAGGAAGAGGGACCAGTTCCCATGTGTGATTGCGTAGAAGAGCAGAGTGTTCTTCTTGCATAGCTTTAAACCAATGAGGCTGAGCAATAGCTGCAGCTGTAGATGTAGGTTCTAGACTTGCCAAGTAGGCTTTTGGTTTAAAGATGCCTGCTTTAGCCCTGGTAGTCATGGGATGAGCAGATGCTTGAGGAGGATGTGTATCAGTAGAGGACCTGCAAGTAGAATTAGTAGTCCTAACAAAAAAATCATGCAATGGAACACTCAAGTTTGTACTGTTGGAGTGATGGTTGGGCGAGTGAATATGTGGAGGACCCAATATAGAGTTGGTGGAAGGAGATATAGTAGGATTCGGGTTCAGAGGCAGTGAGGAATTAGTGTGAGTAGTGTGTGAATTGACTGGAATTAAAGGACCTACTGGAATTATGGGACTTATTGGAATTGTGGGACTTGAAGTCTGACTAGTAGGTGTTGGGATAGAGATGGGATTAGGTGACTTAAGAAGATAGGGAAAACTAGTTTCATCAAACAAGACATGTCTAGCAATGAAAGTTTGACCAGTTGGACTTAGACATTTATAGCCTTTATGGTGAGTGTTGTACCCAATAAAGGTACACTTGGCTGATCGAAAATCAATCTTATGTTTGTTATAGGGTCTTAAGTAAGGGTAGCAACTGCAACCAAATGTCTTTAGAAAGGAATAGTCAGGGGTAATGTGGAAAAGAGTCTCAAAAGGTGATTGTTGATTCAAAGTGGGTGTAGGTAATTGGTTTATAACATATGTGGCAGTGAGGAAAGCATCCTCCCAGAATTTTTGGGGTAGGTGAGATTGTGCTAGTAGGGCCAATCCAGTTTCCACTATGTGTCTATGTTTCCTCTATGGTTTTCCATTTTGCTGATGTGTATATGGACAGGTTAGTCGTTGGATAATACCTTGTTGTTTTAGATATTGAGTGAGTTTAAGGTACTCCTTTGCATTGTCTGTTTGCAAGGCTTTTATTTTGCTGTCAAATTGGAGTTCAACCATAGTTTTGAACTGAACAAAGATTTCATAGGTTTGTGATTTATTTATTAAGGGATAGATCCAAGTGTAGTTTGAGAAAGCATCAACAAATATTATGTAGTATTTTGCACCTGATGTGCTCTCTATAGGTGCTGGACCCCATATGTCTGAAAGGATTAGTTCAAGAGGTTGAGAATAGACAGTGGTAGTAGTAGGTAAATGGAGTTGATGCATTTTTGCCATACAACAAGCACAACAAAGCTTTGAGTCAGTTTTATTTATATATGGTATTTTACAATGTCTAAGTACCAACTTTACAGTATCAAGAGAGGCATGAGCCAGCCTAGAATGCCAAAGACTTAAAGTTGAAATACTAGAGGTATGGTTACATGTAGGATATTTGTGCTGAATTGAAGAAATAGAGCTATTCAGATGTGAATTTTCTGTAGAGGAAATATGCTTGGACTTTGAAGTTCCATCAAAAGCATATAAGCCATTCTTAAGTCTGCCTTGGAGAAGAGTCTCCTTGGTAGCCTGAGATTTCACATAACACGCATCAGCATGAAATTCAAAAATGACATTGTGTTCTCTTGCAAATTGAGATACACTCAATAGATTTTTAGATAAGCCAGGTACATGTAACAAATTGGATAGTTGAAAGACTGAAGAATTAACAGATGAATGCAAAAATGAGTGTCCTATGCTTTTGATTTTTAGATTAGAGCCATTACCAACTTGAACAGCATCCTGACCACTGTATGGTATTTTGTTGTGCAGGTTATGAGGATCTGGTGTGAAGTGGTTAGTGGCTCCAGAATCTGGATACCAGCTGCTGTCAGTTACTGAAAAGAAATCAGAGGCACTTTCATCTTGTTGCCTTCCACCATTCTGATTTGTGACAGCTATATTTGCCTGCAAACTCGAGTTGTTGTTCTGGCTATACTGACTTTGGTTGTTTGAACCTGTGAAGTGCTGATTGAACCTGTGAAAGCAATCCAAAGCCAAATGACCATATCTGCCACAGACTTGACATTGAGGTCTGTTATTATGATTGAATCGACCTCCTCTCCCTCTGTAGAATTGATTTGGTCCTCTATTTCCATAGAACCTTCCTCTATTCTGAGTATAACCTCCTCTGCTGAAGTTTGAAGAATTACTGGATCTTCTCATTTGAAGATGAGCCATGTTGGCTTGAAGAGTATTTGTTACATTTTTTCTATACCTCTCTAATCTTTGTTCTTGAGCCATCAAGAGAGCTTCAATTTCTCCAACCGTGTAAGGATCTGTCCTTGAAATAACAGAAGTGACAAACGAATCATAATCTTCATTCAAGCCATCAAGTATAGCTTCTATGTGATCTTCAGAATCAACTGATGAACCACAAGCTGCTAAGGAATCTACCACTTTCTTGATCTTGAGTAGGTATGTTGATACTTTCAGTTGCTTGATTTTTGCTCTTGTTTGAGAGACAAAAAATTCATCTAGTTTCTGCCAGATTTGGAATGAGGTTGAACAGCCTACCATACGAGTGTACAAAGTTTCTGACATTGAGGAGAGTAGCCATGACATCAGTAGCTGATCTTGGCGATCATTTGCAGCTTTTTGTGTACTGGAAGTTTGTGTGCCTCCATTGGTTGTTACAGTATTGCCTTCAACACTTTCACCAGTAGTATTATTTGCAGCAGGTGTGGGATCTTGCACTTCTTGCGTGATGAACCTGTCAAGATCATAGCCTTTGATAACGGCTAAAGCTTGTTGCTTCCAAGGTAGAAAGTTGTTTTCATCCAGCTTAACAGACACTGGATTAGAGAACGTGTGAGTGGTGGTTTGCACAGCCATGGATCGAGTATGCTCTGATACCATGAAAGGTATCAGAGAGAGAGAAAGAAAGAGAAAGAAACTGTAATTGCAAAAGTGAATTATGAAAAGCTTGATTGATCAGTTACACTTGAGATCTATTTATACTTAGATCTGTTAATAATAGCTAACTCACTATTTATAACTAACTAACAATTGGGTTAACAGAATTCTGTTGAATTATGTTTTGGATACATATGGGCCATTGGGCCATTGGGCCTTAGTATATCTGTCAGTGGTCGACAGCGGACGGCAACAGTGGTGTGACCGGATACGAGATTGACTGAGATATGAGGCGTATGCGAAGACAAAGAGACTGAAAACCGAAAGGACGACATGATTTCTGGAAGAAGAAAAAATTCACCAATAGGCAATGGGCAACCCGGTAAGCACGAATTAGAATTGTCTCTCGTTGGGCTCTTGATAGCATGTTAAGAGAAGGGAAACAAAAAACATATGAGATAATCCACGTGTCTTAGATACGCAAGAAAAGCACTATTATATAAGTAAGTGAAAGAGGATACACATAAAAATTACATGTTACAATACTTTGTCCCATACACTAGACTAGTCTATATACAATTATTTCAACAAATCCCACCAACTTAATCAACATAACTTCAGAAGAACAAATTATGGTATAACTCACAGCGTATAACTTATAATACACAAGCTGACCTATTAAAGAAATATTTTTTGTCAAAAATTTCATATTAGCATATATCAGCCATCTTTTCTTATATTCCTGTATTGGTTAGAACAAAAACAGTTGGAATTGGATTCTCTCCAATGTAACCGCGTTTTAGAAAGCATCTTAGAGTACATTTATCACGGGCGTTTGGTAGGGGTTTTTAAGAGACAATTTTCATTGGTATTTCTATTTGACTGTGTTTGGTACAAGAGTCCAACAAATTTTATCAGCAAAATTATTTGCCCAGCCATTGCAATTCGTTTGCAAAATAGATGAAAAATACTATTTTAAAAAATCACATGAATGGTGGTATTGAGCCACCTGCAACACGTTACAAGACCTTCATTTTCTTTGCTATAAGTTAACGAGGGACCCAGTGACAGCCAAGAAAATCAAACAACGAAGGGGGCATACTGGTAATTGAATCATATTTTTTCACCAATATTTTACCTTCAACCAAAAATAAACTTTGAAAACTTAAATCAAATTTCCTTGTAATTTTTTGCCCTACCAAACAATTTTTTTTCTCAGTTTCCTACCAAATTTATTTTTCTATTATTTTTTCAATAATTATATTTTTCTGGTAAAAAATATATATCTTCTACCAAACTCAATCGGGTTACTTTTTTACTTCCGTTTGCATTGTCATCGCGCTGTCCTTTTTGTTTTCACACAGACTCGATGTTTGACTATTTTTGTTTTGACCTTCGTTTCATGTAGCTCGCCTATGTTTGTTTGGCCCACTCACATCTGAGTTTCTGATTTTGTGGTGTGTTTGGTTTGGTTCTCTGGAAAGTTCATGGCTATGCTTCTAGATGCTGTTGTTGGAGCTTTGGTTGGGGAACTGCTGAGTACTGTTTTAGAAATGAAGGACAAGGCTGTTAAGTTCACACCAACTCTGCAAAAATTGCAGTCCACCCTGGAAGCAATAGGACCAACGGTTAAAGAAAGAGAAGATCTTTACAGGAAATTGAATCGGCCAGAGAAGGAAACGAGTACGCTGATCGATCAGATGAAGAGTGGCAAGGACCTTGTTCTCAAGTGTTCTGAAGTCCAGTGGTGGAACTGCTGCTATAAAGCAGATTACCAAGAGGAACTTGAAGAATTGAATGCGTCGATTTTCAGTTTCTTTAATCTGAATTTGCAAATTCAGATAGCGAGGGATGGTGCTGAGGTACTCGTGGAGGTGAGAGAGATTCGTACGGAGATCAGAAATATTGTTCCAAGGAATGAAATAAGGGGCGTGTGCTCGCCTCCTAAACCCCCTGAGTTTACTGTTGGGTTGGATGTTCCTATGAATGAGTTGAAGCTGAAGTTGCTTCAGGATCAGATTAGTGTCTCGGTTCTCACGGTGACCGGTTCAGGAGGTTTGGGGAAGACTACATTAGCCAAAACGTTATGTTGGGATGACCAAGTCAAAGGTATGAATTCCCACCTTCTCTCTCTCTCCCTCATGATGCCTTTCAATTAGTGCTGGTAGTGCTGAAATATGAAATCATAGCTGTGTGTGTGGATCTTTTCGTTTGTAATAAACTTTAACCATTATCTCTAGTCATAACTTTGTTAGACATCGACCCATTCTTCTAATAAAAAAGTTAAATTTTGGTTTGGGTGAGTGAACATTTGTATTATTCACACTTGAAGCCAAAAGGCACTTTTGGTTGGTAACAAGGTAGAGCTATGACTTCGGTAAAGAATCAATTTAACCCAAAAATTTAAGTTGTTTGGTGAGAGCCTCTTTAATGATTTATATTATACTTTAACACGCCCCCTCGTAAGTGAGTCCATTGAGTTGAAAGGTGGATGATGCATCAAGCTCAGCTTAAATTCAACCAAAAAATTTAAGATGTTGGATGAGGCTACATTAATGGTTTATATATATATATATATATATATATATATATATATATATATATATATATAACAACTTCGTTGCTGCTATGCTGGTGCTTTGATCTTTTTAAGCTGTGAATCTAGTTAAGTAGAAGTCCCATTTCGTGGGATTGCCATGTTTAGAAATAAATTAGTAACATTATTTTCTTTTTTTTGGTTCCTTCTGCATGTACTAGAGTAAGATGTTCTTGAGCTTGCAGACCCCTAACCGTGTAACATTTGGTTAGATAAATTCAAGGAAAATATCTTCTTTGTCACCTTTGGGAAAACACCCAAGTTGAATACCATAGTGCAGAGACTGTTTCAACACAAAGGTTACCAGGAGCCTGAGTTTCAAAATGATGAAGACATGGTCAACCAATTGGAACATTTGCTAGGACAGATTGTGAAAAGCCCAATACTGATAGTCCTGGATGATGTTTGGACAGGATCGGAATCTCTTGTTGAGAAATTTGTGTTCCAGATCCCAAACTACAAGATTTTAGTGACATCAAGATTCGCAATTAGAAGATTTGGCCCTCTATACGTCTTGAAACCCCTTGGTGATGCAGATGCTATAAATCTATTTCACCACTCTGCATCACTGAATCAAAGCAGCTCTGATATTCCTCATGATGATGTGATTAAGGTGCTTTCTAAAACTTATTTTGTGATGATTGGAAAATCTATTCTAAAACCATTTTGTCACCTTTCAGTCATAATGATTTCAAAAGGACATAGGCAGCACCAAAGACTTTCACTTACAATTTCTTATTTTATATACTTCAGCTAAAAAATAAAAATAAAATAGGTAGTAAAAGTTTTAAGTTGGAACTTCATGTTTCATTGAAACCACTACATGATTTGCAGATAGTAAGAGGCTGTGGTGGTTTTCCCTTGGCCCTTAGAATGAGTGGGAGTTCACTGAGTCAAGAGAATCCGGTGTTCTGGCACAACAGGGCGAGGAAATTGTCCGAGGGTCATTCAATTCTTGATTCTAGTAGCGATGTGCTTGATTGTCTACAAAACATCTTCGATGTCTTGGATCCTAAGGTCATTGAGTGCTTCAGAGACCTAGGCTTATTTCCTGAAGGCCAAAGGATCCCTGCTGCTGCTCTTGTTGATATGTGGGCAGAACTGCATCGAGAAGATGAGGCCAATGCAATGGAGAAAATTTATGAACAAGTCAACCTAAACATGGCTGATATTTTTGTTACAAGGTATGCTCCTAAATGATTTGGTATACTGTGTGATATTCTTGTAAGACCACTTGGTGCCACTTATAATTATACACAGGAAAGGGGCTGTTAAATTTTATGCACCGCAACAAGAGACAAATATCTTACTGAACACGTGGTTATACTCAATCCGAACTTCTAGGTTAAGGGTAAAAACACTTCAAGCATAAATAATGTCTTTCTCATTTACCATCATTCAAAAATACTTTGGACTTGAATAGTGAGTAATGCCCACAATGTTAACTTTCATGAATTTGTATCCTTTATCTTAGGGTTCATCATACAAGAACACAATATAATTAGAATCATAGGAATTCATGGTTTTCACATCATTAGGGTTAAGGGTACTAACCTTTTTTCATGATTGTGGAAGATCTTTATTAGCAAAAGTTTCTCGTAGTCTTGACTCTTTCTTTCTTATATGCTCTTATCTAGGGATGAGATATCTTGTGTCTAGTTATCTCTTTTTATCCATTTGATTTCTCATGTATGTTTTTTAATCCTTTTGAGTAACAATCCTTATGTATAGTTGTTGCCTTGCTAACAGTTATGCAAGTAATGCGCACAAGTATACGCGACAACAAGTAATATAGGGCTTTTGTGAGTCCCAGTTATCGTTCCCACAAGGATCTTTGCGTTTTAACTTGAAATAAATGGTAATTGCTAAAAGAACTAAAAATAAAAACAAATAAAATTAAATGCTACTACTATTCTCAACTAATGAACTGAAAATGTTTTTGTGGAGATTTTCTCTTTTTTAAAACAATGATTTAGTTGGTGACAGGTTCTTTAACTACTGCCTAGAGAAATGACTTAACTAAAAGACTTGTAAAATATATTTTTTAATGGTTTTCTTTTAAGTTTAGAAACAGAAAAATAATTTCAGATTTTGACAAGAAATAACAAGTGACAAAAATTGGTTTTAAAATAGTATTTGGAAGTGAGTTGGGTGTCAATTTTCCCTTCCCTCATTTGTCGTTCGGATGCTTTAACAAAGAACAAAAATTGCTCCCAGCTTAACGAAAATATTAAGGTAATTGTTGTTTCCCAACAACAGTTTTCTTCCACTGACAACAGTTGGCATATCCCTATGTAACTGTTGTCATAGGATCTTGAAGCACCATTTTCACAAGTTACATGGGGGTAACTTCATCCCTGAAGCCATACCCATTGAGAGAGATTTTTCTCTCAACTTTCCATGTGCTCACAGTGGGGTCTAGTGTGAGTTATTTTCCAATAATCTCACACCACTAAGAGCTGACTATGTGTGATCATCACATAACAAACTCAGCAATAAACATGCACAGTAAACAAGCTGAAAAACAACCATGTAAACATTAAAACATCATCCAATAACATTGAGTTCCGGGTACTTTTTCAACCCAACTCTCAGAAAAATTAGCTCATCACCACAGGTTGATGAGCTAAGTTACAGCAAAAGAACATGATAAAAAAATTAGCTCATCACCACAGGTTGATGAGCTAAGTTACAGCAAAAGAACATGATAAAAATAGGAACTTTAAAATGTACGAAAACTAAAACTCAGGAGCTATCAACAGCCGATAGTCCTGGAACAGTGCTCATAAAAAATTACAAAACAGAAAGTAAAAATATTCAAAGCAGAAACAGTAACATAAAAATATTCTAAGAACAGAAAACAAATTTCAGCCGAGAGAAGAGAGGTAGGGAGAGAGTGTGTCCTACAGAATGCCTTTTTCCCTTTCTTTATAGCTGCTCCAAAATCACCTCCTCCAACCGTACGCTCCTCGCTCCAATCGATCGTGGGTGTCCCTTGCACGATTCAGCAACGCACCACAAAAGCAGCTCCAGCCACTAACGACCTCCAGCTCATCACTTGTTTGGATTTTTCTGTGTCATCAACCGAATCGGGTAGGGTTTGTGTGGGTTGGTTCGATTCAAAAACTGAACCGTGATGGAAGGCTAGGGTTCTTGTCTAGGATGAAAAGCAGATGGTGTTTCGGTTTATTTGCTCGATTCCAAGAAGAAACCGTGATGGATGGTGAGGGCTTGAGATGGATTTAGTCGATTGTGGGTCTGTGCTAGGGTTTATTTTTTTCTTTCTCACGATTCTGATTTGTCTCTTTAGTTTCTTTTCTTCCCTTCTTTTCTTCTTTTCTTCTTTCGGGCCGCTGCTTTAGTTGCCTCTGGCCCAACTCTCTTCTTTCCTTCTCTCTTTTTCTGACTTGGTCTTCTCTCACTTTGCTTTCTTCTTTCTTCAAGTTGGGCTTTTGTATCAGCTTTGTTTCATCCGGCCCATTCTTCCTTCATTAGTTTCTCTTCTTTTGTCATTTCACTGACTTGCATTGATAAAACTTCAGCCCACAACATCTTTGTTTCTTGTCTTTTTCATTCTTTTTGCTTTACTTGGATAAAATGAGTAATTGGGCCTGCAAGATACAAAAACAACCCATTATCACTTAAAATCAGAATATTTCATTTTTATGCAATATTTGGGGTTTTTATTAACAAAGATATTCTTTTCATTCCCAGTTTAACATCAAATCACATGTTCAAAGTCACAAATCATGGACTTATCACTAGTTATCTCTTTTTATAACATTCCTTTCCTTAGCCAAATTTTCTTATGCCCTTTACTAGTTAAATCAAAATTAACACTAACTTTATACATTAGACACATGTAGAACTTACAGACAAGTCCACAACAACTTAGGAATAAGGTTTAGCTCTTACGGCCAGACTTTTCAATAAACTAAAAGTATGAACTTCATTCTAGAAACAAGATAAATGATGCTTTCTCTTGTAGCTGTTACAAGACATTTATTTTTGTTATTGAAAGAATATTGTTTGTTCTGTTTTTTATCCATTTATGAGCAACTAAATTGTTTTTTTCATTGAGCAGGAAAGTTGCAAGTGGCACAATTGACTACAAATACCATTATGTCACGCAGCATGGTCTTCTTCGGGAGCTAGCTATCTGTCAAACTAGCCAGGAGCTAGTGGAGAAGAGGAATAGACTAATTATCGACATAAGTGGAAATAATGTTCCAGAATGGTGGAATGGAGGGAATGAGTATCACATTGCAGCCCGCATATTATCCATATCAACAGGTTTGTTCATCTTTCTGTCTAGATGCACACATGTTGAGAGATTACACTTTCACTCATTATTGAATCTTTTTGCAGATGAAGCGTTCACTTCAGAATGGTGCAACTTGCAGCCAACTGAAGTTGAGGTTCTAGTGTTGAACCTTCGACAAAAGAAGTGCAAGCTACCAATGTTCATGAAGAAAATGAATAAATTAAAAGTTTTGGTAATCACAAATTATGACTTCCACCTTGCTGACTTGGAGAATTTTGAGCTGCTTGGTTATCTATCTGGTCTTAAACGAATCAGATTAGAGAAGGTTTCAATTCCTTTCCTCTGCCAGACTGGAATGCCATTGAAGAATCTGCAGAAGTTTTCTATTTTTATGTGCAATGTGAATGAAGCATTTAGAAACTGTGATATCCAAGTTTCAGATATGCTGCCAAATTTGGTGGAGATGAACATTGACTACTGCATTATGGTGGAATTACCAGTTGGTTTTTCTAATATTGTCTTCTTAAAGAAGCTCAGTATTACAAACTGCCATAAGCTTTCAGCACTTCCTGAAGGAATTGGAAATTTGGTCAATTTGGAAACACTAAGGCTTAGTTCATGTACTGATTTAGAAGAGTTGCCAGACTCAATTACAAGCCTTCAAAACCTTAAATTTCTTGACATCTCTGACTGCATAATGCTTAGTAAGTTACCTGAGAAAATGGGCGAGTTACGTAATTTAGAAAGGATCAATGTCTGCGGTTGTTCGAGTTTAAGAGAATTACCATTCTCAATCAAGGACCTTGGGAGCTTAAGGGATGTGGTATGTGATGAAGAGAGGGCTGCATTATGGGAACCTTTCAAAACCATCCTTAGTGATCTAAAGCTAGAGGAGGTACAAGTTGATATGGACTTAAGTTGGCTTTTATAATTTATATTCGTGTGACACTTGGACTTGGCTACACAATCAGAGGGATCAAAATAAGAAGAATAAAAATGAGAAGTAAAAGTAGCTTTCATGGGCTGCATTACATGTTTTGAGAAGAGCCAGTCGTGAACTTCAAAATTACTACTAGCTTATGTTGTGGTTTTTTGTTCTATATTTTTTGAGTGATTGATTTTTGTAATATTAAAGTTCTTTGTGTGGATATGCTATTTGTAATGAAATTTAAAGGAATAAAATTTCCATAAATTGTGTGCTCAAAATAATTTTTTCATTCTATGGCTTGAAAATTTTAGTGCAAATGTCCAGGTAGACAAGAATCGTAACTTTGATATTCTCATTTTCTCAAATACATTAAACATTAGAATTTAAGACAAACTTGTTATTTCATCCCTTTCCCCCGTTCAAAATTTGGTTGGGAAATGAATGGAATTCCTTCTTATTTTCTAACATCCAAATAATAGAACTCTTTGTCATCTTATTTCATTTTTGCCCTTTCCATCTCGTAACATCAATCCAAACAAATCCTAAGTATTCATATTTTTATTCTCTTATTAAATTATCCTTTGCTACCTAAATGTCTTATCTCTAAAAAAAATTCTCTGCTTTCTCTCTACATTTTGAATTTTCACCACACTCTCGTATATGGAGGGTGGTCAAAGGGGGTCTCCGGAAAGGTCCTTAGAGGAAGAAGATCTGCTTCATCGTAGCAATAAATGCAATAAGAAAAAGGGAGACCAAGTCTTTAATGTTGTCCAATGGTTCCAAGGGAAGAGTCATGGATGGTAGAACAGGAGGAACGTCAAGTATCATGAAAGGAAATGATAATGCTCTATAATGGTGAGGATGATGAATGGGAGGGTCATGCAACGACTGAGGAGGAAAACATTCAGGGTGTACCTACAGAAGAAGAAGAAGATGTGAATTTTGGAGGCATAAAGATGTGGGAGGAAGAGGATGGAAGAACACATTTTGGGTGCACTTGGAGAGCAAGAAGACGTATGCACAAAACATGGGAGAAAGCCCTAATTGTAAAGCTTTTGGGAAGATCAACTGGTGTTGCTTTCATGAAGAAAAAAATTGAAACTTTATAGGCCAGGAAGGGTAGACTGAATGTCACTGACATTGGAAATAAATTGTATGTGGTGCAATTCAGCAGTAAGGAAAATATGAATTTCGCCCTTAATGGTGGACCTTGGGTAGTGCTTGGGCATTATTTATCTTTGTGAAAATAGGAACCAACATTCTGTCTTAATGCCGAGGGTATTTCAAAATTTGCAACATGGATTTGACTCCCTAACATACCCCTGGAATTTTACGATGAGGCATTTTTCCATCATGTGAGTAAATGGTTAGGAAAACTGATCAAGATTGATAAGACAACAAATGCCCATGTTAGGGGACGCTTTGCTAGAATATGTGTTGAGTTGGATCTGGCCAGGCCTTTGAAGGGAGAGTACGTACTGGAGGGGATGCTTACCAGATTGAATATGAAAGGCTTGGGCTAATCTGTTTTAACTGTGGTAGGTATGATCATAATAAGGAATGCTGCCCAAAGCTAGCATAAAACCAAAAATTAGTCATTAGAACATGAAGTAATGATGAAGAGAATGTCATCCCCCAACAGAGGGCCTTGGTCCATGGATGGTGGTTAACTGTCAACGTCATCCCAGAGGAAGAGGCGCGACATTGGATGACCGACCATCAGCAATAGCAAGGCGTGATTCTCGGCGTGATCAAGGGGAGCCATCAATATAATCTAAACAACCTAATATGATTATGGCAGTTACAAAATCCTGATTCGATATTTTAACAGAGGAAGAGGAATTAATTCAAGATGAGCTGGAAATAGACATGACGGGGACTGCCTCTTTTCAAAATTATGAACATATCAAAAAGAACAATCCTAATGATACAACTTTTGACAATGGGTTAGGCGCGTAGCTGAACGCGCGCGAAAAAATTCCCCTCTGCTAGGGTTTCTACATCAAAATCTTCTGAAGTTTCGATGGAGGAAGCAATTGAAATTAACAGTGAATCTCTGTCTATGGCTAGGAAAAGTACTAAGAGAACAAAGAGTGGGGAGGAAATTCCCACGAAGATACGGATGCGGGAAGCGATCAAGGATTATCAATCAGATCTTCGGTGAACGGTAAACAAAGATCCTTTGCTGAAGTTACGGGTGAGGAGAATGGGGTAGCAGGGGACTCTTTCCCCTGGTTAGCTGAGGAAGAAGCTCCAGATCTGGAACCTCTGGACCCAAGCTTGGGTGAGATTACAGAGTGGGGTTTTCAAATGATAATTAAGGAGCATGGGTCAGTTGAAATAAAGATCAATAGTGAAGCCAGAGCTAGGATGTGCCAGCGTTGGAAGAATGCACTGATTGTCAAACTCCTGGGCAAGAAGATCGGGGTGGGATTCATGAAGAAAAAACTTGAATCTCTTTGGGCAAAGGCTGGAAGTATTACGGTGGCAGATCTTGGGAATGAGTTCTTCTTAGTAAGGTTTAGCAACCTAGAAAACCTCAATCTAGCCATCATAGGGGGACCTTGGGTCATACTAGGGCACTATCTAGCTACTAGGAAATGGGAACCTCGCTTTGATCCTGACAAAGCCAACATCCACAAGGTTGCAGCCTGAGTCCGTCTTCCAGGTATCCCTCAGGAATATTGTGAGTTCCCGTTCCTCAACCATCTGGGTACTGTGATTGGGAAAGTGCTCAAAGTAGATAGAACAACGTCCACAGGGGACAGATCTCGCTTTGCTAGAGTGTGTATAGAGATCGACCTCTCAAAGCCATTGAGAGGTGAATATATTCTAGATGGAAGCAGAAAGAGGGTTGGATACGAAGGCCTCTTCCTGATTTGCCTCAAATGTGGAAGGTATGGACATAACTCAGATTCATGTCCAGACTTTGTTAAATCTGGCCCCTCGACTAAATCTGAGAAGGCTCCTGCTCAACCAGTGGAGAATCCTTGTCAACAAGGTGTAGGCCCCTGGATGGTAGTCCAGCACAGAAAGAAAGCCCATCAAAATTTCCAAAAGAAAGAATCTAATAATAACAGAAGTTTTGGAGAAGATATATCTAATAAGAATAACATTCTGGGGTCAGAGTCAAGCTATAAAAGTGAGATGAATCCTCAGAAAATTGCCTCTAGTAAGCTTCCTGATTTGGGTACCCCTATGTCTAAGGTAAATAAAGAGAATGAGGATTTGAAGAATAAAAATCAAACCCCTGTCTTGGGGATGAAGTTCACTATAGAAGCTTCCTCTCAGGCTAAGAAGCCTTCAGGTAACAAGCCCCTTTTGCTAGTTACCAAAAAATCTTCTTCAAAGGCTTCAAATGCTAAAGGCAAAGGAGCTGTCTATATTAACCCCCCTAAGGTTTGTTCTAGCAGTAGTATTAAACCGCGAAAGGCCAACCTAAACTTATCCCAATCTCCTCTTGAGCAGCAAAAAGTAAAGTTATGGAGTGACATGATGATGGCTGATGATAACTCCATGAAAGAAAGTAGCTCTGATCAACTAAGCAAGAACCTCTCAGCTGTTGATTTGGTTTGTGATGTCTATGTGGCAGTTCCTGATCAACCTGATCTAAACATGAGAGAAGATTCAAAGAGGGGAGAAGGCCAATCAGGTATGGAAGTTGAATTGTCTTTGTGTAATTCAATGAATAACTCCATGTTAGTTGAAGGTGGAATTATCTATGATAATGAGATGTTTGAAACAAGGAAACCATCTGTTGTGAATCAAGAAAAAAGTAGCAAGAGCATGGTAATCTTGCAATCAAACCAGAATTCTTTATGAATATTCTCACATAGAACTGTAGAGGTACTGTTAAAAAACAGTTTAAGAGCATTTTCAACAGATTTCGTAGAAAGCATAGAGTTGGTCTGGCTGTTGTTTTAGAGCCCAGAGTTAGTGGAAGTAAAGCTATTAGTATAATTCGTAGCTTGGGTTTTTCAAACCATATTGTTGCTGATGCTCATGGCTTTGTTGGTGGCATTTGGGTAGTTTGGAATAATAGAGATGTCAATATCTCTCTTCTGGTTAAACATGATCAGTTTATTCATTGTTGGGTGGAATTTCCTGGAATGAAGGGGTTTTTTTGGACGGCTGTGTATGCTAACCCTTAAGAGGAAAAACGCAAAATGCTTTGGGAAGAGTTAAAGCACATTGGCAGAAATATGAATGATCCTTGGATTTTATCTGGGGATTTCAATGAAATTGCTCTGGCTTCAAAAAAGAGAGGAGGAGGAACTGTGGATGTGAACAGGTGCAACAATTTTGCTAATATCCTGAGTGTTTGTGGGGTGATGGATTTGGGGGGAGGAGGTAACAGATTTACTTGGAAAGGTCCAAAATCCCTGCACTTAGATAGAGTGTATAAAAGACTGGACAGAGCTGTAGCTAATGATGTCTGGAGATCCTCTTTTGAGGAAGCTGATGTGCTAGTTCTTCCTAGACTCTTCTCGGATCACTACCCAATTCTGATTAGAATGGAAAAAGAAGATTCTGATTGGAGGGAGAGGCCATTTAGATTCTTGGCTACTTGGCAGAATGATGCTAGATTCACTTCCTTCCTAAAAGCTAATTGGGATTCGTCTGCTGGTTTGTTGGATAGCTTAAACTCTCTTGTTCCTATGTTAAAGGAGTGGAATATGAGTGTTTTTGGGTTTACTCAGCATAGGAAAAATAAAGCTATAGCTAGAATGGAAGGCATACAAAGACAACTTAGTTCCTCAAATAGCTCCCAACTTGAAAAATTGGAAGCTAAGTTGAGAAAAGAGCTTTCTGACATCCTTGATCAGGAGGAGCAAATATGGTACCAGAAGTCTAGGAGTGAATGGATAAGAGGAGGGGACAGAAATACTAGTTTTTACCATATTAGTACTATTATCCGTAGGAAAATAAAAAAATCATTAAACTCCAGGATGATAATAGGCATTGGGTTACTGAAGAGGAGGATCTAATTGATCTTGCTAGAGGATTCTTCCAGAACCTTTTTAAGGAAATTTCTAACGAGCCTGTTTGGTTCCAAACAAATAATTCCTGGCCTGCTATCAGCGAGGATCAAATGGGTAACCTGTCTATGGCTATTTCTCTTGAGGAAGTAAAGAGGGCCTTTTTCCAAATGCCTCATTTGAAAGCCCTAAGACCGGATGGGTTTCCAACTTTGTTTTACCATAGAAATTGGGAGATTCTTAAGACTCATATATACAACAGCATGTAGGTTTATATGCAGCATCCTGATCAGATTGTTGAAGTGAACCACACTCTTATTGTACTAGTACCCAAAGTTGAAAGACCTTGTTTGATTAAGCAATTCAGACCAATAGCCGTTCGTAATTCTGGTTATAAGGGTTTGAGCAAAATTATTGCTAACAAAATCAAACCTCTTCTGGGGGAGCTTATATCCCCAAATCAGGTCAGTTTTGTGCCTAAGAGGCATATCTAAGACAATGTAATAATTGTTCAAGAGCTCATCCACTCAATGCATAGGATGAAAGGTAAGAAAAGCTTCTTGTCTATTAAGATCGATTTAGAAAAGGCTTATGACAAGCTCAATTGGAATTTTATCAGAACAGTTTTGGAGGAATTGAAATTTTCAAGGGAAATGGTTGAAGCTATAATGGGTTATGTGATAGGTCCTGTTTTAGAGGTTTTGTGGAATGGAGCTAGAACCACCAGTTTTCAATCTCATAGGGAAATTAGGCAAGGGGACCCACTATCCTCTTACCTTTTTGTTCTTTGTATGGAGAAGTTAACTCACTTAATCATGGATGAAGTGGAGGTGAAAAATTGGCAACCAATTAGAACTGGCAGATCTGGTCCCCCCATCTCACATCTTATGTTTGCTGATGACATCATCCTTTTTGCTGAAGCTTCTCTAAGCCAACTTAATTGTATTGCTCATTGCCTCGAAAAGTTCTCAAAGATGTCAGGACAGTGTGTAAGTATAGGAAAATCCTGCATCTACTTTTCCAAAAATACTCCTGAGGAGGCTGTGAAGTCCATTACTGAAATTAGTGGGTTCAAAAATATTAATAACCTTGGCTGTTACTTGGGAGCTATGATGAGACATGGGAGAATAAACAAGAACCATTATGCTACTGTTATTTCCAGAGTTCAGGATAGGCTACTAGGTTGGAAATCAAAATGTCTCTCTCTGGCGGGTAGAGTCACTTTAGCTAAAAGTGTAATTTCAGCCATTTCTTGTTACCACATGCAGAAAAATACCCTCCCAGTGCATGTTTGCCAAGACATTGAGAAGTTGCAAAGGAATTTTATCTCGGGAGATCTGGATTCTAAAAGGAAAGCTCATTACGTAGCCTGGGAGCATATGTGTCAGCCTAAGGATTGTGGAGGTCTTGGCATCATTAACCTCAGGATTCAGAATGAAGCTTTTATACAGAAGCTGGCTTGGCAGCTAATTAGAGACCGAAATAGTTTATGGGTTAAAGTTCTGATTGGCAAATATGGTAGGAACCATGATCTTAACCGTAGCTTGCTAGCTAAAATGTATGACTCTAATCCGTGGAAGAATATTTGCATAGCTAGAAGTAAGATGACCAAGCAGCTTGAATGGGTGATAGAGAATGGTAAAAAAGTTTGTTTCTGGACTGACTATTGAGGAGGATGGAATCCACTCTTTTTGAGCTTGTTTCAACCAAACCTCCTATGTCTGATCTAGACCTCAAAGTGTGTGATGTAATAGATCAAAATACAGATGGTTGGAACTGGTTTTATCTGGAAAAATTCCTTGATACTCCCACTTGCAGTAAGTTGAGCAATATTCCCCCCCTAATCTCAACAACTCTGATGCCTAGCTCAATTGGAGGAAGAGTAATCCAGGAAAATCTGTTGTTAGGAATGCTTACTGCCACCTGTTGAATTTCAACTATGAAAAGGATGGAATTTGGTCAGCAATTTGGAAATGGAAAGGTCCTTATAAAATATCTGTCTTTCTTTGGTTGGCTTGTCTCAATAAGCTACCTATCAGAGCCATTACCTGTCACTAGAGTGGGGGGAGGTGCAATGCCCCACTTGTTTTAATGAAGAAGAAACTTTAATCCACACTTTGAGAGATTGCAAAGCGACCAGGAGTATTTGGGAGAGATGGTTTGCTGACAAAATCCTAAGTAAGTTTCTAACAGTAAATGGAATAGAGTGGTTCATGCTTAATTTATTTAAGCCTTTTACTTCGCATCTCTGGCATTCGTGGATATAAATTTTTTTTGTGACTTGCTGGTTCTTATGGCAATGGAGGAATTCCACTGCTCATGAAGATTTATTTTCAAGACCTCATGATCAGTACACAAGATTATGTGTTATCTTGCTGATATGAAGAATAGTGGCATTGTTGATCCTTTCTCCCTTTTATCTGAATTTCCTAACCTTTCTGGTAGATCAGACCAGATTTTTGACCAAAATTGAGTTAAAATTTTTGTGGATGGTGTTGTTAATCTTTCAACCCACAAAGGAGCTTGTGGAGGTTTTGCTTGCTCTTCAAATGGAGAATGGTTAAGTGGATTCTCTTATAACATAGGGTCTTGCACCCCTTTGGAAGCTGAATTATGGGGTATACTTCATGGCCTTAAACTAGCTGGTGCGCTGAAACTACCTACTGTCTGGCTTGGTTGTGACAGCAAAGAGGCCATTCACTGCACAGAAGCTAAAGCTGATCCATGCGGTTACTCTTCCCTAATTGACAGTATAAAGAAAACAACCCAATCGTTTGTCCAAGTTCATCTGGAGTATATTCCTAGATATTTAAATGATTGTGTAGATAGCTTAGCTAAGTTAGGATTTAAACACAAGGGAGTGGAGTTGAAGGTATTCTCCTCTCCCCCTGATAGCATTGAGTTTTTTTTAGAATTCTTTTATTTCAAACTTGCTGGTGAAGCATGTGACTTTAAACATGCACTAGCTTTCTGTTTAGTGCTTCTGAGCTAGGCCCTCCATTTTGATAAAAAAATAAGAACAATCCTATGGCTTTAAATGAGACAACCAATGTAAAGGGAAAAGGAAATCAAAGGCACTAATTCTCGAGGATTAAATCATCGAATCAGCACAGGCCACTCAAGCATAATCCTAAAAGAACATGCTGATCGTTTTACCCTAAGAGGAACCACCACAAATTCTAGCCCAAGTTCGAGAAAAGTTGAGGCCCTCGCACAAAAATAATGGCCTCCATAAATATAGGGCGACGTATGCCAGTCATAAAAAAGTCAAGGTCGAAGTTATATTCTAAAACAAAAGTCTAGAGAGGAGCATAGTGAAGGATTGGTGGGTCAGGGCTCTAAAATGGAAGTGGGTCGGGGAATGATGACAGTAGAACTAATAAAAATGGGGTAGATTACCCTAAAGCACCAGATCCAAATATGGATATGGCAATTGGTCCCCATTGACCATTCGGTCAATGCGTTACTCATGGAAGTGGACGAAGGAGTTGATGACAGATATGCTTCTGGTGAAAACTTTGATTAATGTCCTTTCTTACCTAGAACTATCATGGGGAAGCCAAAAAGTGCTCTGTTGTAACTTAGACCAGCTTAACCAGGAAACACAAGGTGGATATAGTTGCTATTTTGGAACCTCGAGTTAATGGCAAGAAGGCAAATTTTTTTTATCAAAAGAACAGGTTTCAATGCTTGCATTGTGGAAGAGGTACAAGGTTTCATAAGGGGTATCTGGATTCTATGGAAAAAAAATAATTGTGAAGTTACAATTCTGGAACAAGCCAAACAAATTATCCGTGTCAAAATTGCCTTTCCTGACAAAGAACCTTTTGTTTGCATGTTCATTTACGCAAATCCAAGAGAAAAGGTTAGATGCATCTTGTGGCAGGATCTTCGTTGCATCTCTGAAACCATGGAAGACCCTTGGCTGATTGCAAGTGATTTTAACGAAATAGCCTTTCCCTTTGAGAAAGGGGAAGTGAAATTTGTGTAGCTACTTATGGACATAAAGATGAATGACTTGGATGGAGTTGGCGCTAAATTCACTTGGAGATGTCATGGTTGCTGCATATGGAGATAGACTATAAAAGCCTTGATCGAGCATGTAGCAATGAAAATTGGGGGTTAACTTTTGAAAAGGGCCATGTTAGGTTCTCCCAAGGATTAATAGCGATCATAGCCCCCTTCTTATAACTTTGTCTCCTTCCAAGGAAAAGTGGAAGGAACGGCCCTTCCGTTTTCACTCTTTCTGGCAAGATCACTTCCCCTTCAATTAGTTCCTTAAAGAGAGCCTTCAATTGCTTACCCTTTGCATAAAAGATTGGAATAAGAAGGTTGTAGGAAATATAAAGTACTGGAAGAGCAAACTCATCAACAAACTAGAAAGTATCCAGAGGGCTATATCGAAAAATAATAAAGAATATTTAGAAAAGGTGGAAAGGAGAATCAAAGCTAAGCTTGAAGATGTGCTAGACCAAGAAGAGATCTAATGGTTTGAAAAGGCCAGAACGGAGTGGATAACACAAATGATAGAAATACTAGCTACTATCATACGAAAACAATAATCATAAGAAAACAAGCAAAAATCACTGACTTAAAGGATGTGAATGGAAACTGGGTGTGTGATAAAGTACAGCTGGAAACCATGGTGATCAATTTTTTCAGTAATCTGTTTAAAGAAGATATTACCCATTGTGAATGGGTTAACACAGCCTGGCCCCAATTAAAGATGAAGTCATGGAGAGATTAAGGGCCCAAGCTACTAAAGAAGAGGTTAAGAATGCTTTCTTCTAGATGAAGGTTTCAAAAGCACATGGAAAATAGGGGTATACAGCAACATTTTTTCACAGGAATTGGGAGTTGGTGGGAGGCCAAAGTTGGAATGCATTTTGTTTTTATGTGCAGAACATAGATGCCATCGAGGAGATAAATGGTGTAATGCCCCATTGTACACCAGTTTGTTATCATCGCATATGATATTAAGCACAGTTACAATCACAACAGTTGAATTAAAATACAACTAAACTTTTTCCTTTTTTAATATTAAGCCTTATCCATTACAAAACCATTACCCTATTTAAACAAATTCAAAACTGTAATTATAACTCAATTACATTGCAAAATAATTAAATCTAGCTTAAACATATTATACTAGTCTTACATGACCCTACCATGAAGATTCTATAAGCCTTGTGGCCTAAATCTTTATTTTCAGTAATTTGGGCAGCTCGCTGAGTACTTCGCTTAAGCGAGCTTCTCAGCGAGCAAATCTCATTTTCTCGTTGAGTAGCTCGCTCAAGCGAGGCACTCAGCGAGCAAATCTCATTTTCTCGTTGAGTAGCTCGCTCAAGCGAGGCACTCAGCGAGCAATTAATTTCACAGACATAAGTTACTGCCTCATGCTCTGTTTCCTCACTGGCTCCCTAGCTGAAGCAAGTTCACTAGCGAGTAATGCTCGCTCAACAGCTCGCTTAAGCGAGCACTCCAACAAGCAGTCATATGTCTTTATAATGGCTATTATCTCAAATTTAAATAGCTTGTTGGCCTCCTCGCTAAAGAGAGCGTGCCAACGATTAGAGCCTAAATATGAAATATCACACTTGTTTAATGGCTCAACTCTCACATGATTGGTGCACATATTGGGTACTTAATAGACACAGAATAGCCTCCCAATGCCCAACAAACATGGGGGCACTTACATCCAATTTCTCACATCAAATTATATTTCTTTCTTATTTCTCAAGTTATCACATTCCTAACTTAGCATAATTTACTAATCTCATTCCATGCAACTCCAAGTACATCACTTCTCCAATTATGCGAAAGATACACATAATCAAGGTCTCACAATTTCATAATAGGCTTGAGAGCCCTTCCATCATAAAAATCCATAAATTGTCCACACCATTACATGAATATCCCAAATATACAATTACATCAATTGGGACTTAACTAATCAAAACACATTATTAAGGTCCTTGCATTATACATTAACATGAATATACAAGAATAGTCATCATGGGCTAAGTCCCCAAATGCTAATACATCATCTTACAAGGTTATCGAAATAACAAGGCTATAACCAAAAATATCATAATTACATCATATCATTAAAATCCTATACTATTCGTAACTAATGATGCATATCCAAAAATGTACAAGCTTCACAACCCTATTCAGGTCTCTTGCCCCGGGAGGCTTCAGCAATATCAGTGGTACCTGAAATGTAGTCCCCCAGACACAGGGTGAGATAACAATCTCAATAAACCAAAGGTCATGGAAGTCACTCCACCCAATGGCTCACTCAATGTGCATAAATGATATCAACAGAATAGTACTATATACATAATCATCTATCACACACAATATCCGATGGATATACATGAAACATCCCTCATGGACTATTGTTCCAACTGGTAATCCATCTCGGATCCAAATGGACTTCCAAGAGACATCCATCATGGATTAAATCTCTTAGGTATCATATCATCTGATGACTCTATCATAGAGCCACAACAGAGAAAGCCCTGATTCTACTGGCCAGAGAACCATATATATACATAACACACCATACATATAGATATCATATCCAAACAATGCATGACAGTATGAACATACTATTTCAATCATTATCATACATCATATTATCTAACCATTCCTCCCAATGGAATTTGGTGGAACACACAAGGGGATTAACCCCAAGACCAAAAGTTTACCTGAAAGCAAACTTCCTCTTGCTAAGCTTTCTTGTAGCGCAAGTAAGCCAACCAATCAACACTTATACAATGAAATTCACCTATATTGTTGTTAATACTGAAGCAACTAGGCCCTTCTATGATGAGTCAATTTCGACCAGTCTCTCTTTGCTCAGTTTTGTATAAGCTATTTAGCAAGCTCCTAGTCTATAAGCTCAAACCCATCATGGAGTGGCTCATATCTCCTTGCCAAGCGAGTTTTGTTCCAAAGAGGCATATTCATGATAATATCATAATCATGAAGGAGTTAATTCATAGTATGCACAAGATGCGCAACAAGCGTCATTTCATGGCAATCAAGGTGGATTTGGAGAAAGCTTATGACCGAGTGAACTGGAATTTTTTTAAAAAATATCTTTCAAGAAATCTATCTTTCGAAGCGCATCTATGAGATTCTTATGGCTGCAGTTAGCTCTTCCTCTATCAACATGTTGTGGAATGGCAGTCATACAATAGATTTTAATCCGTCTGGGGGTGTTCGACAAGGTGATCCGTTGTCACCTTACTTTTTGTGTTGCCATTGGAGAAACTGAGCCACATAAATAATATAGCGGTGGCTAGGAATCTTTGGATTCCTATGAAGGTAGGTAGAGGTAGTCCCCCAATCTCACATCTTTTGTTTGCTGACGACCTCATGATGTTTGTGAAAACATCGATTTCCCAGACGAATATGATATCGAAATGCATTAACCTATTTGAGGAGATATCAGGTTTAAAATTGAGTATCCAGAAGACTAGTGTTTTCTTCTCCGAAAGATATTATTGAGAGGAATGGCTTCAAACATGTGCGCAATGTTGGGAGGTACTTGGGTGCTTGGATTATTCATGGTGTGCAACTAAACAACAATATGAGCACATTGTAGATAATTATAATATGAAAAGTTTTTTTTTCTCTCCTCAATCACATCAGCTTGATATGGAAAGTGAAAAAAAAAGAGTAACTTTTCATGTTATACTATATACTATCGGAAGTACATAGAGTAAAAAACTAAAAGGACATAACTTACATTCTTTAAAATGACACACACTAAACTCTTCTAATTAAACATGATGAATGTAACACCCCATAAATAGCGATTATGTTCCCATGATGTTTCTAGTTTAAGCTTCAGGTTCTTACGTTATTTAATTTTTTTGGGATACAGGTTCTTACGTTATTAAAATAATCTTTGTCACTGGGATAAGTCAATGTGGACTAGTACATGGTTTATGCCTCACGTTAACAGTTTACGTATTTTTTCTGTTGTAATCAATCCTTCATGCGAACTCGATCTCAACTGAGAAAGGTTCAGTCGGGTGCGTTTCCTCGATGATACGTTAGATTCGTTTTTAACGCTTCAATTCATTTATACTTCAAAGTCCTTTTCGAGTCCGCGTCAAACAAGTAATGGTTGCAAATTGTTTGTCAACTTTTTGCTCATAGGAATAACTTTACTTCTAAGCTATGAAGTACCGACACTTCAAAAACCCTGACGTGTCGTGTCCGACACTTCTCGACACTCTCTGATACTCCGACACTCCCCGACATTCCAACACGTGTTATAGAAATTCAAAAAAAGGTTCAAAAATTACGTTGCGTTGAGTTTTTAGTTCCAACTATTAGATTCGTTGGATTACGATTATCATTTTATTGAGTTTAGTATAAATATTTGGGATATCTTATGTTTCTTTGCAAAATTGATGAATATTATAAGTTTAGTTTCATTTTTTTGTTAAATTATTGAATATTAAATATAATATGCACTACATAGATTAAAAATATTATTTAATATCAAAACGTGTCCTAACGTGTCGAAATCTAACATTTTTTAAAATTAACGTATCGGAGTGTCGTGTCGTATCATGCCACGTGTCTCGTGTCAGTATCGGTGCTACATAGCTTCTAAGCATGACCGTTGGTTATGGTTCAATTGGCAAACTAAGTTATCCGTGGGTGAACTTTATTTGCAGTCTAAGTTTGAATCTCACGGAAATGTATAGACCACGGCAAACTCTTACAAAGGATTGAATTTTATATGTAAAAGCTACGTTTACAATCTATCTCTTACGCATCAATGGAAATTCTTAATCAAATGGATAAGGATAATGGGTTGGATCGAATTAGTGTTTGGATTAAATAGGTTAGATTTATGTAAAATATTTTAAATTGGGTTTAAATTATTAGTCGGTATAGACTAAATTATAAGCTTGACCTGACATATATTTAAAAATCAAAACATATAATCTAAATCTATTAGTA